GATTGCATGATCGAACGCTCACGAATCCTAACACACGGTGTGGACAAACGTTCTTTTCTATTCAACTCATCATTCTCTTCCTTTAAAACAATGAGGAATGACCCCTATTTATAGTTGCAAAATCAATCTAAACCTAGTCTAATTAGATCACCTAATTAAAGCAGTAAAATAAATCCTAACATCTTCTAAAGCAATAAGAAAATAAATCCTACTAATACTACTAGTCTTGATCTCCAAGTCTTTTGCTTTCCTTGCACTCCAAGTTCGGCCGCCTCGCACGCACGCCGCCCTTGTGCTCGCCGACCTCGCGTTGCCTATTCCTAGGTGCGCGGCTTCGCGCGCGCGCTGCTCCCACGCGTCATCCGCCACCATTGCCTCGCCTAGTCCCGTGCGGACTAGGCTTCGCGCGCCTGCTTCTTAATCGCGCGCCAACGCGCGCTCCCCGTGGCCGCTGCCTTCCTCTCGCGCGTGCGTGCCCAGCACTCCTAAGCCTGCGAGGCTTAGGCCTTCACCCTCTTCTTCTACACTTGCACGCCCAACGCGCGCCGCGTCTTCGATGCCCGGCGTCTATGCGTCCCAGCCACCCTCGCGAGTGCTGCCCACGCTTGATGCCCCCACACCCTTCTCGCGCTCATCTGCCAGCTCACGCATACCATCGCCGTCCGTGCCCAAATACCTACCGCGCACCCGCGTGCACCGATGATAAAGGATCGTGTGTTTTGTTCCACTCGCTTGCCTCGAACAATGCGTCGCCACGGCCTTGCTCTCAACGATAGGTGTGATCGACTCGGTTATTAGCCTAACTCTCTCACGATACTTGAGTTCACTCGGTAATTAGCCTTGCTCCCTCGATTTTGAACTAGCTCGGGTCTTAGCCTGACTAATTCGATTGCATGATCGAACTCTCACGAATCCTAACACACGGTTTGAACAAACGTTCTTTTCTATTCACTCATCAATTCCAAGACCTTCAAAATGATGAGGGGATACCCCTATTTATAGGTGCATGAAATAAATCTAAGACTAACTAAACTAGATCTCCTAATTCTATAATGAAAAGCAACATCGTAATATAATCCTATTACTACTATAATTATTCTTACTTGACTTGCACTCCACTTTTCTTGATCTCCAAGTCTTGTGCATAAAACCCTTCGGCCGCCTCACACGCACGCCGCTCTTGTGCACGCCGACCTCGCATTGCCTATACCTAGTCGCGCGTGGCTTCGCGCGCGCGCGCTGATACGGAAGTGGTCATCAACCCAGGCGAGTCGGAGGATGAGGGTGGTGACGATCTCAACATATGGTTGGAAAACATGCTAGAGGAGCCATCAAGTCAAATATATCGACCTTCTTGTATAAGAGATTGGCCAAAAGGATGTGGTCCGAAGTCAAAAGTCAAATCTAGGAAGTACAAGACCAAGCGAGCTCGAAGGAAACACAAGACAAAGGCTAAGGAAGGGAATTGTTGGTGCAAGCCTTGTGCGAGGAAAAGACGAGCTTGGAAGATGGAGGCTCGAAGGAAAGGTAAGCAAAGGGTAGAGGATGGTTAGATATGGCGAGCAGGAGATTATATTGGGTTGGAAGGATGGGACCCATGTCCATCGGACGAGCAATTAAGGTCAATTGGCGAAGTAAGGGCGAGCACGAGCGAATGGCGCACATCGTGCCTTGATGCGCACGAGGGGCCGAGTGATTGTGTACGAGGTACAACGGGTGCAATGGGGTGCACGGTAGACGAGCACGCCATGGGGTTAACTGGCACGCGTTGGCGTTTGGCGGCAAAGTGACAGGGGGCACGAGGTGCGCGAAGGGAGCTCACGCGGGCGAGAACCTAGGCCTGGCAGGCCTAGGAATGTCGGGGGCGCATGAGTGCGAGGAAGTCGGCAATAGCGCAGGGCGCTATGACGATGGCAAGACGTCTGGCATGCGCGGCAATCGCGCAGGTGACGAGGACGTGCGGGTCACGCCAGCGATAGCGGAGCGCGCGCATTGGTGCGCGAGTATGGGGCAGACGCGTGAAGCCTAAGCTGCGCAGGCTTAGGAATAACGGGCGCGGTCACTCACGCGCAAGAGACGAACGACGGACATGAGGCGCGCACGATGGCGCGCGAGTGTGGGACAAGCGCGAAAGACCTATGTCGCGTAGGAGTGAGTGAGGCGAGGGCGGCATGCGCGGGCGAGGAGGATGAGGCGCGCGATGCCTCGCGCGCCAAGGATTAGGCATGCTAAGGGCGGCGCGCGAGAACAAAGGCAGCCGAAGGTTCTAGGGACGCAAGACTTAAGCTTCAAGTAGTTTGGAGTGCAAGTCAAGCTATTAATAATTATAGTAATAGTAGGATTTTATTACCAAGTTGCTTTTAATTATTGATTTAGGAGATCTAGTTTGGTTAGGCTTAGATTTATTTTATGCATCTATAAATACCTATGTACCTCTTCATTATTGAACATGTTGAGAATTGATGAGTGAATAGAAAAGGGGAACTTGGTGTTCTAACGTGTGTTAAGCAAGGCCGTAGTGCGTGTTTACATACAAGTATCGGGGAGAAGGCCATTAGTGCGTCTTGAAGTCACACGTGTCAAAGAGAAGGCCGTAATGCGTCTATTAGTCACATCTATCGTGTGTAGTCGAAGTCCCGAGTGCGCGATTACAAACAACCGAATAGACAACAACCGCGATCAACACTCCGATCACTCATCATTGTTGCTTTCATTGAGAGGGTTTCATTGAAGAGTGTCCGATCAAGGTTACTGTTTATCTATCTTTTTTTTCGGTTATTACCTTTTGTTGAGGGGCATGATTTCTCTTTGTTTTTTCGAATTTTGATACGAATTTTTTGTTCTTTTTTTGAAATTTTTCATGAAAAAAAAAAAAAAAAACAGAAGTGTCATCTAGTCTTTTGTTATTTTTCAGAGTCTTAAAAAAATATTTTTTTGTTTGTTCGGTTCGATTTTTTTTAGAGTAAAAAAAAATGTCTTACTTACCGTTAGATGAGTTAGATTAGGAAGACCTTGAGATGTTGGAGGGTTTGGAAAGAGAACTCATGCACTGGGAGAAAACATATCTAGATGAGCTTCATGAGCGAAGGAACGTAGAAGAATACGAGCGACAACTCGTAGAAGCCCGAGAAGCAATGGTGGTCGATGTCCAAAACAATGCTGATAATGGTGCGTTAAATTTTCTAATCCTTGAGGACAAGGAAAGTCTTGAAGAGGAGTGGAATGATACATAAGTGGTCATCAATCCAAGCGAGTTGGAGGTTGAGGGTGGTGACGATCTCAACATATGGTTGGAAAACATGCTAGAGGAGCCATCAAGTCCAATATATCGACCTTCTTGTGTAAGAGATTGGCCAAAATGATGTGGTCCGAAGTCAAAAGTCAAATCTGGGAAGTACAAGGCCAAGCGAGCTCGAAGGAAACACAAGACAAAGGCTAAGGAAGGGAATTGTTGGTGCAAGCCTCGTGCGAGGAAAAGACGAGCTTGGAAGATGGAGGCTCGAAGGAGACGTAAGCAAAGGGTAGAGGATGGTTGGATATGGCGAGCAGGAGATTGTATTGGGTTGGAAGGATAAACCCATGGCCATCGGACGAGCAATTGAGGTCAATTGGCGAAGAAAGGGCGAGCACGAGCGAATGGCGCGCATCATGCCTTGATGCGCGCGAGGGGCCGAGTGATCGTGTATGAGGTGCAGCGGGTGCAATGGGGTGCGCGGTAGACGAGCAGGCCACGGGGGTTGACTGGGACGCATTGGCGTTTGGCGGCAAAGTGACGGGGAGCACGAGGTGCGCAAAGGGAGCTCACGCAGGCGAGAACCTAGGCCTGGCAGGCCTAGGAATGTCGGGGGCGCACGCGTGCAAGGAAGTCGGCAATAGCGCAGGGCGCGATGACGATGGCAAGACGTCGGGCGTACGCGGCAATCGCGCGTGTGGCGAGGATGCGCGGGTCACGGCCAGCGATAGCGGAGCGCACGCATTGGCTCGCGAAGCCTAAGCCGCGCAGGCTTAGGAATAACGGGCGCGGTCGCTCACGCGCAGGAGACGAGCGACGGACATGAGGCGCGCACGATGGCGCGCGAGTGTGGGACAAGCGCGAGAGACCTATGCCGCGTAGGAGTGAGTGAGGCGAGGGCGGCATGCGCGAGCGAGGAGGATGAGGCGCGCGATGCCTCGCGCGCCAAGGATTAGGCATGCTAAGGGAGGCGCGCGAGAACAAAGGCGGCAGAAGGTTCTAGGGACGCAAGACTTAAGCTTCAAGTAGTTTGGAGTGCAAGTCAAGCTATTAATAATTATAGTAATAGTAGGATTTTATTACAATGTTGTTTTTAATTATTGATTTAGGAGATCTAATTTGGTTAGCTTAGATTTATTTTATGCATCTATAAATACCCATGTACCTCTTCATTATTGAACATGTTGAGAATTGATGAGTGAATAGGAAAGGGGAACTTGGTGTTCTAACGTGTGTTAAGCAAGGCCGTAGTGCGTGTTTACATGCAAGTGTCGGAGAAAAGGCTATTAGTGCGTCTTGAAGTCACACGTGTCTAAGAGAAGGCCATAGTGCGTCTATTAGTCACATCTATCGTGTGTAGTCGAAGGCCCGAGTGCGCGATTATATACAACCGAATAGACAACAACCGCGATCAACACTCCGATCACTCATCATTGGTGCTTTCATTGAGAGGGTTTCATTGAAGAGTGTCCGATCAAGGTTATTGTTTATCTATCT